GATGGGCAGATAGGCGGGTGGGTGGACGAACAAGCAGGTGGACGGTTGGACAGACAGGTGGGCAGATATACAGGCAAGTGGACGGTTGGACAGACAGGTGGGCAGATATACAGGCAGGTGGACGGTTGGGCAGACAGGTGGGCAGATATACAGGCAGGTGGACAGACAGGCAGGATGGGAGGGCTGATGGGCGGGCCCTCACCTGCTCCTGCTGCTGCCTGGCCAGCTCCATCTGCTGCCGCTGCTTGTCCATCTGCGAGGCAGCCAGCCTCTTCTGCTCGTCATGGGCGGTCAGGAGCTGCTCCCGCAGGCCTATCAGCTGGGTGATCATGGTGGAGAGTTGCCGCTCCTTCTCTGCCAGGCTCTCGGGGGTGCCTGTGGGGGTCAAAGGTCATGGTATGAGGGTGCAGGTGGGCGCAGGATGGGAGGGTCTGACGGCTGCAGTGAGGCATTTACACGAGATAAAAATCTGATCAAATATATTTGATTAACATCAGTTACCCTATAATAACCTTATTAATGTTGCAATAGATGCCCACTAATCTTTGAAAAGTAGGGATGCCTCTGTATGTAAGTGTGTCCTGGTGGGATCTGCTCCAACATCTCGCTTTCACCTCCTTTCACTCTTAATAAAACCATAAAAATCACACAGGTTAACAGGTCATTTTCATCAGAGGTAATTTTATGTGGGTTTTGTAGTATTTTTCATGCTGATTTCAAATCTGTGTTTAGTTTTTCTCTAGCACGTCAAGTTTTTGTGATGAAGCTATATGTAGTATGATATTATGTACATGCAGTCTGCGTAAGTGTATTACAAGAGTTGTCTGTGTTTTTTATCTTACAGACAGCATCACCATTCTCTAGGTGACTAGATATTGATTTATGTTTTATTGACACTTGCCTAGTTGAGTATGATTTGACATTTGAGTATGATTAATTTGACCTAGTGCGCATGCGCATGTCTTGTGTAAACAACTTAGTTTGGCGGGAAACCTAGGTAGTATTTTCTCGAATTGTTGCTAAAGAAATACTAAATCTAACTCTGGAGTTTGAATTCTGGGTCATGGACCTGGAAATCAAAGGCAGTGGTGACAGACAGCATCAACTGTGTTGGTTTTCAGTTGTTATCATGCCTAGAAATGGTATTAATCATCCAGACAGTTTCTGTTATGTGTGTAGTTCATTCACAACGAAAGCACAACGTCGCCCCATCACTGCAGATCTTTGGAAGATATACAAATTATACTTTGGCTGTCTACCTGGAGACCAGGATAAATCTTGGGCTCCACATGTCACCTGTACCAGTTGTTCAAATGGTCTGCGTGACTGGCTAAGTCGGCAAAAGGCAGCAATGGCATTTGGAATTCCGATGGTGTGGAGGGAACTGTGGGACCATCTCAATGACTCTGCTACTTTTGCTGCACAAATACAAGTGGATTCTCAGCTAAGCTCAAAATTGTATATCCCAGCCGAGATTCTGCAATCAGTCCTGTTCCTCATGACGATTCATTGCCTTGCCAATCAACTGTCTTGATTCTGTAGAAGGTGATGAGTATGGAGAAGGCGCAGCTGGTTACAGTGAAAGCATGATGGCCGACTACTGCTGCATGCTGTGTCATGACAATCCAGGCAAGGTGTGCCCAAGAAAATCAAGCTCAAAGCGTTTTTGAAGAAACAATGGTGGTTAACAAACACTTTTCAATTTCTTTATGCCAACTGCCTGTTTATTTGATTTTGCTCTAAAGATATTTTACCCTGTACCACAGTGATGCTTTTGTTTTAGTACACAATACTTGCAATTACGGTATTAACTAGCATTACTCATAAATCAAAAAGTTGACATTACAGATAAAAACTGAAAACAGATATGGAATCAGCGTGAAAAACTGATTTGGAAAAATGTATTTTGGTCTCTGATGATTTAAAAAAACGTTCCTTTGTTGTCCTGTGTTATTATTATTATTATTATTATTATAAAAATCATGCTGGGTCACTGGATATAGCAAAGGCCGGCCCAGAATGGGCTTGGCCATCACTCGGAGCTGCGGATGCCTCGTGGTCAGACGCACTGGGGGAAGCAGGCGAGCGCACAGCAGTGTCTGCCCCAGAAGCGCGCCCCGATCCCTGTGCTCCTCAGGCTGCGCTCTGCCTCTGATGCCTGGATGGCGCGCAGTGCCCCCCGGAGCCATCAGAATGGCACGACACATGCAGCTGGCACTGCCTACGCGCCGCCTTCATTAGCAGTGTGAGGGTTGCAGCCTCACCACTCGCCACTTCAGCTTTTTTCTTCCTTGGTTTTTCTCACAGCTTTTCCACGGAAGCGGGGGATTGTTCCCACTAAACAGAGGAACTCTGAGAGGTGGCAGATTGGTGACAGACAGCCAGGGCACCATGAAGCCTCCTCCCCTGGCTGTTATATATAATATATATATATATATATATTTATATATATATTATATATTCATATATATGTTATACTGTGGGTTTTTTTGACAATCATCACACCTGCTAACTTCGTCAGGCTGCGGCACCTGCTGTAATGACAGCTCAGCATCTCATTAAGGGGGTGAGAGACACAGACGTCTGCGGTAACCCCCCCATCCCCCCACCCGCTGTCCCACCACCCCGGCAGGGGGTCAAGGCGCAGTGTGCCCCAGGAACACAATGGATGACATCACTGCCAACATGACTGTGCTGTGGATGACGAAGCAAAAGGAAAATGCAAACTGAGTGGGGTAACTGGAAAAATGATAAATATAAAAATATATAAAAAATAACCATAAAAATAATCATTTTAATATTAATTGTATCTGTAAATGCCCAATAACAAACAATGAGGAATAAAAAACATACGTAAAAATGGTGGCGTACAATGAGGCAGAGCACCACGTTCACGACACCCCCCCCTGTGAACGCCCCGTGGTGTTTCCCTGGCTGCAGCAAGGGGGCGGAACTCTGAGCCACAGTGGGCGGCTCCCTTTCAGATCAGCTGCTGCAGATCCCGCGGGGCAGCCTACCCTGGGGGGTCCCCTTGTACACACCTGCACAGATATACAACGTGCCATGCCCTGTCTCTCACCTGCGACCAGCCGTGCTCCATCCGGCTGCTGCGGGTGTCTTTCTGTACCCCCTCCCCCACCCATTCAGGCACATCTGTCTCTAGCCCACCACCCCCCCCACCCCCATCACCCGGGGCCTGCTCCACTCAGACCGCTCTAATTTGACTAAACAACTGATTCATGTTATCTCTGCGACGAGGATGGCAGTTTGTCTTAATAGGGCCTGTCAACCTCCAGCCCCATTCAGGCAATTTACTGGCAGCCCCATCACTGCAGCGATGGAAGAGAGCCGCAATTCTCCATTTATCCTCCCAAAAAAAAAAGAAAGAAAAAAAATCACCTGAAAGCTTCCTTTCACTTGGGCCTCATGTGGTTCCCCGAGGCCTGAAATGACTCCTTATTCATGGGGCTCTGCCTGCCTTGAATAGCTTATCTGTAACAGCGATACACTCCATGGCGATTTTATTAACCTTTAGCCTGCCCGTGGACGGCTGCCACTCACGAGGCCCCAGCTAGCCGTGCTCACTGACACTGCAGGGCTAGCATTTGCGCTGTCCTACCGGTTGTAGGCGGTGGAGAGCAGGGGGAGGACCAGGTGGGCGGGACTTTGGGACACTGAGTCTTCCTCCCAAACAGGAGCGGTATCAGCAGAAGGGAAACAGTAAGTCGGAAGTAGACAAAAGAGAACCGAATGACAATCCTGCACTCTTTGTCCAAGGGTCTGAGCCACTGGGCAGGCATTAAATACATCAGCTAGGAATATTAAAGCCCCAGTAAACACGTCCCAGGGAGCTCAGTGGGATGAAAGCATCTTTCCCGCAAAATCGCTCCAGTCGTCAAGCTGGGGACAAAGCGCATGATGCTGAACACAGAGTCCTTTCCCCGGAACGTAACAGTCCGTTGTGAGAGTGTCACGGAACCCAAGGCNGGGGGGGGGGGGGGGGGCTCAACCAAGGAGGGGCAGCTGTGTGCTGGAGGGTTTGGCGAAGACCAGGCATCACCCTGGTGGAATATTAACAGAGGTCTCATTGTCTTGGGGTGGGCGGCATTTAGGAGCAGTGAGAAAGACAGAGAAAGCCACCCGCCCCTCAGCCTTCAGCCCCCACTCTAGCCGGGACCCATACGCCAACACTAGCTATACGGCTTGCTCGCTCAATTTATGGTATGGCGGGGGGGGGGGGGGGGGGGGGAGTAGGTATGCGGGGATACGACTTACGTTAAACTGATGTATGCTTCTGACACCTTAGAAAGTTATTGAATATACTCTGACTGAGCATATATTCTCTGTCTCACAGCCAATTCGAGCCACATCAAATAAATTCAGACAGTATACAATAAACGCATTAAGGTACAGAGAGGATGGGCTGTTTCTGTAGTTCTGACACAGCATACACACAAAATGGAGAAGGAGGTCGTAGCTGCTTTACGTCCTATATCAAATCGAGGATCAGCTCGCAGGAAGAGCCTGGGTACGGAAAGGAATCTAATGGAGTGGCAATAGGCCAGGGAAGGACAGGTTTATGGACAGCCAAGGCAGGGAAGGGACTTGATCACAGAAAAACATAACAGATTCGGTTCACAAAAGTTAACCTCCAAATGAGTGAGTCAGGAGGTGAACATAGTGGTTTTGGATCTCAGAGGAATTGGAAAACTGGGACCCACATCACTGGTGGGGAGAGCGAACAGAACAAATGCCAGCACAACAAAGCCAAGGCGGCAGCCCCCTCTGCTACGAGAAGGTCAAATTACGAAATATGCACAAGGGAGGAGAGACACACGTTCCCTCCGACCCAAAGGCCGACCCCAGGAGGGGGCCCTGAGGTACACCTCTGCAGGTGCACCCTTGGCAACTTTGGATGGTCCAAGTCTTCTGGCGGACCAACAAAACCAGACTGTCTGGCACACCTTACAGCCCTCCCACCCCATCCTCAATCTCGATCACCAGGACAGCTGTTTGATCATGAAGGCACAGGAAGGGTTAGGGCTAGAAGCCAGCACCTCTGGGTTTCTGAGAGTGCAGAAGATGCTCCTATGCTGTGTGCTCATCAGGACAACATGGGTGACACGGAAAAGCAAAACAGGCCTGTGCAGGATAGAAGGTGCTTTGTGGGGGTGTTATTTGTTTGGTTCAATCAAACCCCACCCCCCACCCCCCCATGCCCATTCCGCTAATCAAGCAGCGTCTAATTCGATTCCAAGTCCAGCACAGGAGGAGAGACGGCAGCTTGTTACTTTGAAGAGTCCCAAGTGAATAACGCAGATAAAAGATTCAGCACAAAAAAGGAAGGGGGGGGGTGGTGGTAAAAGGAGAGAATC